AGAAACTGTTAATGCTGCAACCAGAAAAACTGAATATTCCCTACCTAAATTTTTGGAAAATATTCCCTGTCCAAATACAACGTAAAGGTTTCAGATTCAGCTTTCAGGTATAGGTTGTTCTCGCGCGCAGGCAGTTAAATTTTTTGGCGGGAAAAATGCTCACTTAACAGTTAGGTGGTTTTCAAATCATTGTCGACGCGCACCAGGCAAGCCCGTGCAAACATGCGTGTTTGCAGTATTTCGTGCTGCAACGGGAGCGCTCAGAAACCTAGTAGCTAGGATTTGTAACACACTGTTCCTCAAAGTTCAGGAAGTTAATTATTTACGCAGTACTTGGACAGGGAACATTCCGCTAAAATTTCAGATTTCCAACTTCTTCAATTCTTGAGTTAGCAATTTTCCTGCAAGAAACTTTCTTGGGTCCGTATATGGGAATCACACGTACTTGGGAGCTGAATTTAATATCTCTAACTTTTACGAAGGCTGAGAACAAACCCTTAAGATTTCAGCTCCCAGCTTTTCCGTTTTCCGAGTTAGCCATTTTTCTTACCAAAAAATTTTACGAGGACCGTAAGGGAGAATCACAAATGCCTGAAGGCTGAATCTGACAAATTTTTGTTGAACTTATGCTGTGAATATTCCCTGAAAATTTCAGCTCCCAGCTTTACTTGTTCCTAAGTTAGCGATTTTCTCGTCAGAAATACTCACGGAGCTATGCGCGGGTACCACGCACACCGGGGGGCTGAATTTGAAGTCTTTGATTTCTATGAGGATGGGGAACATAACCTCGAAATTTCAGCTTTCTAGATTTTCTAGTTCCCGAGTTAGCGATTTTTCCGCCAAAACTCTCACCCTCTCGTACGTAGGGCCCAAACGTGCGTGAGGATCATCAGTACCGCGGTCCTAGGGTGGCACTTGGTCGGGGAAAACATTGACAAAATTTTAGCGCCGGAGTTTACTTGTGTGCCGAGTTGAAATACCCGCACAGCCGCACACACACCCAGACACACACACACCGGG